GATTTTTTGTTTGTTTGTTTCTTTTCTGTCTCTATAAGTGTATGACATTATCTAAAAGAAAATGCTGGTAGGTTTTTCTGGCTCATGAACTAGTGCTGGGAACAGTGAATATTCACAGTGCATTTCACCTTCATTATTAGAGATGACACTGGAGCAATCCAGAAAGCTACTCTACAAAATTAATGTCAAAATTGCAGTTGATGCAAGCTGGGCTTAATGATCTATGTTTATTGGAATACACAGTGGTTGGGTTTTTAAGTGTGTTTAAATGATTCAGCAACAAAGGCCAGTGGATTTTTGTACTTCAGTTGTAGCCAAGTCCTTTAAAGGCCCTAAGGCACAAACTGCTGCACGGGAACTCTTGAGTCACAGGTATCTTTAAAAGAGCCAGCCCTCTGAAATCTTTGTCTAAGCTGAAAACGAGCTTGAAGATAAGACAAAAACATCTACCCTCTTCCTCAGTTGGTCATTTTGGACAATACAAAATGGAACCACTGAGTTTGTTCTCTTTCAGCAGGCTTGAGGGTTTACAGCCCTGCATGGTAACTGGTGTTAGGGCTCTGAACGATGCTAGAACTTCAAAACTTGGGCAAGCAGCAGCAGCAACTTTTCTCCTGCCTGGAAGGGGCCCTGGGAAGAAATTAAATGCTGAAGACTACATTAAGTTTGGTAACCCTTGCCTTAAATACTATAATATACTTCCTCTTTCTTAATCCATTTTGAAGGGGGAAGGTGATATGAGTGGTCCTGATTTGCTAGATAATTTTATTCCTAATGTAGTGACCCTTCTTATTTATTCTATAGATCCACCCAGTTATCGATCAAGTCTTCTCTTTTTCTGAAGTTCCAGAGGCCTTTCTGAAATTGGAAGGAGGACATGCACGAGGAAAAACAGTGATCAATGTCATTGATAAAAAATAAAGGTATCTCTAATCATTGTTCTGCCTACAGTCTGTCCTTAACTAGTCTGTGGCATTGGGATGTGAATATGGTCTATATAAACTATTATTTCTTAAAGAGCATCATGTATCATTAAAAAAGACTTTTAGAGACTTTTTTTTTTTAAAGTTGTTCCTACTTTGCTTGTAAGTAAATCTGTGGAACAGACAAACAGTGCTGCCTTTCATGGGCATGTCTAAAAGCTGTCTTCCAAATGTGGTCTTAATTCTTATCATAACTGATCCCAATAGAACTGTGAAACAGAATCAGGCGGCAGGTACAGATGGGACCGAGGCACCTTTGGCAGTGCTCAGGAGCCCCTGCTACTTCCATGCCTGCCCCCATCACTGCTGCTGTTCCATGCTGGAGACGTGTTTGGTTTTTAACTAATTTTTTGGCAGAGGTAGGATATGGAGCAACTTCCCACGCAAGCAGATCCTCAGAATGGTAATCTGGTTATCCAGAACTGCACCTTTCACTTGGGTGCAGCTAAGGTGGTAGAAGTGAAGTGGCAGGGGCTGCTCCCGCTGGGGGACAGAAGCAGCAGCCCTGGGAGCTGTGGCCCCACAACACAGCACACGTTCCTGAGAGGCTGCAGCTGCTCCATGCATGCATTTTGGATGGAACAGGACACACCAGAAAAGCAAAAGTAAGTGTGAAAGGTCAATTTTCTACCTTTAAAAATAATTTCAAGAGGAAGCTACCTAACTTATATTTATTTGTGAAATGCCATATTATACTTAGCAAGAGCACATCAGCATGACAAAGTACCACTGTTTGGAACCAGTAACAAATTTTCTATAAAGAACTAAAAGCAGCACATTTCAGAGCAACAAAACTTGAGTACTTCTGTACAACAGGAGGATATTGGTAAGGCACTTCCTCTCAGGGTAACAATAAAAGCACCACTATCCTTTGAGGCAACATAGCAGTAATGCAGACGTTACTTTTAACAAACCACCATGCAAACCAAAGGATGCTCCTAGGAGCAATTTGTAGTAACACTGGTCTAAGCCAGAACAAAACACAGCAGCATCGTACAAGGCTTTGCTCCTATTTTACTTTTCTGCCAACATTACTAAAGAAAACTAACAAATACAGTTTCAACACAGGGCAAGAGAAGAACCCCCTCCACTCCTTTAATACGTCTGCCTTGTCATGAGTCCTTTCCCTCAGAAGTACCACTTACTTGGAGCGGGCAGCACCAGTGGGACTGGGTACGTACCCAAACCCGGCTGTGCCACTGACTCCAGTGCTCTGATGTTTTCTTGGGAGCCCCGAGGCCACCGCAGACGTTGCTGTCCAGCATCCCCTGCAATACAGGGAGGATGGCACACTCCATGGTAAGCTGGGCCACAAATCTACCAGGAGGCCAGACAGCAACATCCAAAAAGGTTGGTAGCCCCTGCCCCTTTTCAGTCATTTACAGTGATACTTTGCTTTATTTTTTTTTCTCTAGGGTAAATAATTTTTAAATTTAGGAAGACTGTACCTCCTCAAATTGTTTTAAGGGTAAAAATTTGTCTTGGCAAACAAGTAAAATACTTGTAATTCCAAAAATCAGGCATCCTAGAACATGGACAAGTTCTTTACATTCTGATGCCTCTTTTAGCCCATCCTTTCTTTTTCCTGACAAACTTCTACTCATTTACATCCTGTATGCGAGAAAAATGTAGATTTCTTTTTTTCTTAATTTAGGACTACTATTGTAGCATGCTAACTGTATTTGAAGGCACATAATAAACATTCTCTGGATACGCTGTGTGCTAGTAGTCTTTAAACTTTCAGTAAACATAACTTTGTTCCAGTGAAACAAATATATTAATTTTCAGTAGTGACTATTCCTCTATACTACAGCCCATAGATCCACATCGCTATACCCCCATACACATTGCACTCCTGTCCTTTATATAATAAGCTTTAACTATTTTAACCCTTCTCATTTTTTTTCCACAATAATTTAAAATTACAGTTATTAACTATGCTGGATTAAGTGCTCACCAACATGCTAGTACCTCCATGTGGCCTCTCCTACCTTTAATTCTTTCCCTGGAGCCTGAGGGACACAGCCCTTCTCTATAGCACAGTGGCTTGTGAAGATTAAAAAGAAAAGGGATGGAGATAGTTGAGTTTTTATAGGGATAAGAATCTTAGCTAGAGAGACATGAAACCATTCTGTTGCTTGTTGTTCTCAATGGTGCAAGGGAAAGACACAAGTCTCAGTGCTGATCTTGTATCCTTCGACGCCAGCAGTGCCAATTCTAGCATCCAGGGGAGCGGCCAATTCCAACGTTGTTGTCTCAGCTCACTAGAGTTACACGACTAGCGGTTCCCAGCACTGCGTGAGCCTCTCTTCATTGACCGTGTTGACAACGACATGGTCACGATCGTACTGTGTGCCCCCTGAGGAGAAAAATGCAAAGATCTATAATCCTTGAAAGGAGACTCAGACTGGACTCCCAGGTTCAGGCCCTTTCAAAGGGCTGCTGCAGACAGCTCCTTTTCTCCCCAAGACACAGAAAAGACAAACTCATTTTCAACCGTGCCTGCTCGTGGAGTTTGTTTTGGACCAGGGGCCTTCTCTGCTCCCTTCCCTCCCCTTCAGCGAAGCAAGACCTCCCCCTTTCCAGCCTGCAGGGGCAGGGCAGGACATCCTGTGAAAGTCACATCTAGCACCTACTACTAAGGCCCTCAACTCCCAAAGTCAATTTTAGCTCCTCAATTTCTCCTCGCCAGTTACCAGGTCACTTTGCTCTGAATATGTTTATGAAATAAGTCCTGCTGCTAACAGACAATACTACTGCCACAACACCAAAGGAGGATGAAAACAGGCAAGGGATGAGTCCGGTGCTCACTTACTCTAAATCATAATCCTGTGTTTTGACCAGCTGCATATTTACTCCTGTTACTCCTGTTCAAGCACACTTGCGAGCAGCCCCTTTGCTTCTGTACTAAGGGGATGCCAGCTCGGGCATCGTCCCGCTGATCTCCACCTCAGAATTTCGGGACAGGCCTTCAGGTGCCACAGTCCCAAATGCGAAGGCTCTTGGGGAAGGTTACCATCACCACAGTTTCTCCCCTTCCTGACAACATGCAATTTTTAAAAAGCAGTACAGATGCAGAGCAGATAGATTTGCAAAATTGTCCACAAAAAGAACAAAAACTGAAATCAAACCAAATATTCACAAAGGTAAAAAAACTCTTCCCTGTACCTGATAGGATGTAAACAATAAAAACAGGAAAAACAAACCAACCAACCTTTCAATGGGAGAGAGACTAAATTTACATTGATAAATACAGTGGGTTAAGAGACAAGCCACTGTACTAGGCCGCTATATCCACAAGATGGCACCGGCAGCGCACAGCTGAATTAAGGCCGAGTTTGCCGTCTCATCGACAGAAGGGACTGCAACAGATGTTCCTATTAGACTTTCTCAAATGAAAGCTAAGTGTACTTACTCTTTCAGATTTACAGCACAGATTTTTTAAAACACAGAATGCATAATCATTTCTGGAAGTATCTGCAATTGAATCTACACTTTCCTCACCAGACCTATCGATTGTGAAGGTTTTCAAATATAAAAGCAGAATACATAACGTGCTTTTAACAAGATTAACTGAAGACCAGCCAGTCATCATAATTCTGCCTTTTCTGAGAAACTCGGAATCGAGTTTAGAAGAAAGTATGTGAAGAGTCACTATAAAGACTCCTTTGAGCTTGTCTTTTTGATAAGTTTATAATTAATTAGTACATGCTTTATAGGGCACTAAAAAGAATTTATGAGTATTTATCAGTGTTATATCACGGACCAACATTATATAACCCTTTTCTCAATTCTGCTTGTCCTGTCCTTTTTAATTACAAAGTGCTGACTGTTGACTCCGATAATTTTGTCTTTTTAGTAACTGCTGTGATTCATGTCACATCTTCAATTTAAAATTACTTTTAAAGTCAATAAAAATGTAACAGCTACAGAAAAGGATTACTTCTCCCCTCCTCCAGTACAAAGGTTATGTAAAAACATCTAGTCATGTAATTCTGCTGACTATTCAATTTTATACTTTACTGGCCCTATGAAAACTATGAAACTATGAAAGCAAGGATTATTCAGGAGCAGTATCACATGACACAGGCTGCTGTGCCAAAAGCTACTCTAAGGTGTATCAGGTGCACACAGAACTCAGGCTGCTAATGACAGAATCAGTGTTCAGAATACAAGCAAAAAAGGCCCTTTGCATCTAATCACTTCAGTGTGCCTAATGTGAAAGGAAAACCTCCCTTTGCTTTCCTAATATCCCTCGGCTGTTGCAACTAAAACTACTATATAAGAAAATTTGCTCTGTACAAATTAAAGCTAATGAGAAGCTCCTTGCTTCAGCATTTTACAATGATTATATTCATATCATCCTGTGCCAAGTAAAACTAAGGGTATCTACACTGAGTGGACACTAGGAATACAAGATAAGCAAGTACTCCATGTTACTAAGCTCTAGGTAGGAAAAAATGAAATGAAGTCATTTCAAAAGGTCAGGGTACATAATCAGGTGCTTTCTGAGTGTAGATTAAAGTAACTATAACACCATGCTTATTTCACAGGCACGTTTAGTGTCTATCCCACTGCATACACCATGTAATTAAGACACAGTGTAATGAGATAACATATTTGCTTACCTTTGATATCTAAAACCAGTTTTGGTTTCATCTTGCTGTAGATCCTGCCATCAGGACTAATACGCCAATACTGTTTGTCTTCATTCCGCTCAAACGATAGACCCAGTTTAGAGCCAGGAGTTATAAGATTTCCAACAATTGTCAAGCAGCAATCCTCCGCCATCTACATCATCGGAAAAGCAAGCACAGTTATTCAAAAGGCTTTTTAAAAATTATTTCCCCTCTCCCCTCACAATACTGTCATCTTTTTATCTGGAAAGAAGCAAGCTGGTGAGAACTGAGCCTAGGAACTGCTGCTTTCCCGTCAAGGAATGTATTCTTTTCCCCTAAACTCGATTTATTTTCCTTTTGTTCCTGTTTCTGCTGACACTCTCCGCTATATAAAACACGCGAATAACCAGGCTGTATCAGATCAAAAGGTGCAATTAGCACCTGTCTCTAGCCGTGGCCATGCAGGGATGCCGCAGCCGATCACGCTTCCAATGATGTCCTGGAGCAGCGTGTTCCTGGGATACTCTTCCAGCCTAAGGAATCTCCAGCCCAGGGGCTTTTCCAGGCACAGCTGCTATTTTTGAGTTTAACAGGTTATGTCCCGTATGTGAAGCTGTCCATCACGCACCACGGACACCAGTGTCACCTTTTCACACATAGACCATATTGCAGAAAGTAGTTCCACATATTAACCACATGGCATACAAAGAAATAAATATTTCATATAAAACTACCAGATTTATTGGATGCTTTCCTCCATCCTCAACCTTCCCCACTTTAATGAGACAATCCTGTCCATACTAAATACGTGTTTATAGCCTGCAATTTTATCATCCCTTAAACTGCCCCTTGCAAGCTAAAGGGAACTAGCTAGATTGCTCCTTGCATGGAGACCTGTATCCTCCAGTCATCTTTTTCTTTTAATCCTTTTTTTTTTTCCTAGTTGTGCAAAACCCCTTTTGGGATAGGGAAAGGGCATAACTGCACCCTGTATAATGTATAAATTCCACAGTGCATCATAATGACATTTCTTCTTTGTTCTATATTGTTTTCCCAATCATTTGTATTACTTGATTTCAAAACTCTGCAAATGCTTTTATGGTTAAAAGAGAGACTCAAAAATCAGACGCAATGGAAAGGAATATTCAAGCTGTATTACTAGCAAATTACAGAGAATTATTTTGTATTAACAGTGATTTTTTTGTTATTAAAGATCAAAGTAAGCTTATTGTATCTACTGAATTGACTTCAATGCCTGTTTAAATACCAGTCTTCCACTGTTGATATGCCCCTACATTATTAAGTACAGTCTTGAAAAAACAGTACTTCTAGGTCAGAACTTAGAATTGAATTACAAACCCTGACATATTCACATCACATACTCATCCGCATCCAACTTCTTCTCTACTGGGACTTGAAAGCTCACACATTAGGTCCACCAGGTCACTACTTGCCCCATCTCTGAGAGATCCATCAAGAAAGATGATACCCAAGTTCATATCTGCTATTCATGTCTGCTATTCGTACCTGCTTCTGACATGCGAGAGGAATTACTCAAATCCTGCTCACTAGGCATCCCAGCTACATAAGCAAAGTCCTTCCTAAAAAACTTCCACATACCTACACACAGGACTGGGAGTCAATAAGATGCCCTAAACTGACAGGAACAAAACCCAAGCTCTTCCGGTGAAGTTTATCCTGTTTGCCTGCATACATCCAGTCGTGAGCTTAACTTTCTTCCTAAAACTCAGTAAGAGCATTTGTTTGTGCAAAATACAAAAAATGCTGCTGCTTCATGGAAAGAAGGCACAGGTTTAAGATGTCAGCCATTTGTGAGCAATGTTGCTGTCCTGCACTCAGTGCTAAGCTACCTGACTGCTATACGGCACACACTGTGTATTTGTCTGTTTGCGAGGAAAAACTGGGTTAGAAAATACATGGAAGGTTAAAAGCAAAAAAAAAACAAATCAAAAAGAGCATTTAGCCAGAGCCATATAATACTGCACTGTCCTCATGAAAACTTTCAGTGAAAAGTTGAGAGCCACTGTCATGAGAACTGGTCTTTCTATATGTGGTATTAAAGCTACTGCCTTGGTTGTCATCATTTTGCTGTCTGCATAAATCCCCTTTACTGCCGCATCTGCCCTGCAAACATGTCCGAGCAGGGCACTGCCTCAGCTCATTAACAGTGAGATTCTTCCCCCCAGGACAGATGACATGGTTACAAATGGCTCCTTTGAAGTTATACGAGCACGCAGAAAGAGTTCACATGATTCTTTGCACTCAAGCTGTTTTAACTATATTAAAATAACTTCATTTTCTCTGGCCCACCTCCCTTCTTGAGACGAATGTACAGGCTTAAGCACTATGAACTGTGCATACCTGTGCACACCTCAACACTTCATACAGAACTAGTTGTATAGACTGTGAGAAAAGGAGAACCTCATTTAGAAACATGTAAGCAGGTGTGGAAAGGGATGCATTTGACCAGTAAAGGGATAACCAGCACTTTTCTAACTGTAACCTACACCACAATCATCTGCCTGCCCCAAATAGGACAGGGATGTGAAGCTCAAGAGATTATCAGGAAGGTCTGTATTTTAAAAGATGTCTCCTGCTGTGATGCTTTAGTGGTATTTTTGCTGTGGAGAAAAGGGGCAGGGAAGCAGAGGTACCACATGAAAAGCAAGATTACAGAATGGAAAAAAGTAGATCATAATGTAAATCTGAAAAAATCAGTAACATCAAAAAGGGATAAAAATAGTTTACACCACAAAAATCTATAGAAGATCGTATATTAGATTAAATGGCATAAGTCTAGAAAATAAAATAAGATGGTAAGAAATTAAATTCAGCCAGTCCTACCACTGGAGGAAAAAGAAATTCTTGTTGAATTTGAAACTCACCCGGCATCTTATGAATCCATCCTGATAAACCCAGATTTGATCATCCAAGTCAGTATCTTCTGCAATTTGTATTCTGAGAAGATTTAAATTGTCTAGATTTCCATCGGTCGACATGAATTTTCCAGTTTCCTTGTTTCTAAGCCTGAAGTACACACGTTTCTACAGAAACAACAGAAGCCTCCTTAGTGCAGAAAACATCCTGCTCTGGTTAACGCTGAGTCACCACTGCTCTGTTCTGAACTTGGTGCCTGCCTCTCTTTCAAGTAGCTTAAACTGTTTGAGAATTTAATTCTGGAGCCCAAGCTTTGAGAATGCCCCTTTCTGCATGGAGAGTTCTAGGCCTGTCTATTGGAAAGCAGTTTAACTCCCCATACAAAGGCTCCTGGCCCTCACTAAGGGTGCTTTGCACAGGGCTGCTTATTTCAGTAACACAAAGATATTCACAGGACATTCGAGCTGTGGCTTGTTACACACTTAGACAAGATTTCAGCCAAGAGAGACAAAATGTTTGTTTTCAACTCTGCTCGAGACTATACAAAGGCAGCTTTACGACAGCAAACAAATGAACTTCTCACAGGTATAAGAGATCTGCGGATTAAAAAAAGTTCTTTCCTCAAAAAAAAAAAAACATGGTTCAACACAAAGCTCAAATGTTAGAGCTCAGAGCATGGCTGCAGCACATAGACAAAATCAGATGATCCCCATTTAGAGAAGAAAATTGAAAGTATCCTGAAAATAATTTGCAAATCCAGTATAAGTGTTATTTGCTATGTAATAAACAGGAAATATTTATTTTTTCAAAGAGGAAAAAAACAAAACAAACACACACAATGCAAACTCACTACTAACTGAAGTATCTAATTTTGGTGGCCAATTTTCTTATTGTTCCAAAAATAATGTAAGATGGTCACTGGCACGCTGTCTGTGCTAATTTAGTAGCTAATTACAAAACAGCTTAAAATATTTGCCATATAATAGTTATAGCTATTAATTTGACCAATCCTTATACAGTATCTTCTTTACTTCATTTTAAAGTGTGACTCAATGCAGAATTACACAGTCAGGTAGCACAATCAATTAGTTTTTATTGAAAATGGAACTGTAGTGCAGTTTCTTTATAAAAATGTCATTTCTGAAGCCTGTATAGGCAACAAGATAATGTACTGTTTTCAACTGCAGGATAACATTCCCTCCCCCTATTACTAAATACAAATTAGGAGCTGGTGATGATGAGATGAGAGCCTACTCACCTGAAGTAAAGGTCGCAGAGAACCTATCTGACAGTAGCCACTCAGTTTATACCAATCTGCAATTTCGTTCGGTGATAACAACATCTGACGTCCCCTGTAATTACTATGTTCATAAATTATCCATCTGGGAAAAAGAAAAAAAATCTTTTACTGCCAAATCCTGCTTCTGAATCAATAGGCGGCTTTAACAAATTTGCCACACACACACACACACACACACACACACACAGACATACACAAGTCAATGTCCCTTAGAATTGGGATTTTTTAAATAGGTTTTCAAAGTAATAATATCATCCCCTGATTAAGGGCAACTGCATAAAGATGAGTACCCTGGAATTCGAATTTTGATCTCCCATTATTTAGAATTTACAAGGTGAATGAAACAAAGACTTTTCTTGTCTTAAAGGGGTACCTAACTTTTAAACATCAATTGGTTTCACGATGTACAGTAACTCCTCAAGAAGCATAGGTGTATGTGATTTATATGCTGTGTATGTTACACTGATGTACATACAAAACTAGTAGTTTTGTAGACCTTAATTTGGATGAGCGCAGTCCACATGGGCAAGAAGCACTTGGGAAGCAGAGTGCTGGACAAGCAGATACTGGAACTGCAACAGGGCAAAATCGAGGATCTTTTGATATAGGTTTTAACCTGAGAACACCTCTCCTCTTTACAGATACTTGAAAATGAGGTGAGGAGAAAAAGAGGCAAATAGGATAGGGATAGAAGATTTCTGTTTGGCTTTCCCTATATGTGTCCAAGCATCCTAACAATCTTATTTTGAGAGCAGCCGGTCAAAACCAGACTCCTGCATCTCTACTAATACCATAAACAGCAAAATAACAACTGCACTTTGAAATTAGCCACAATATAGAGCTACCTAGTTTACTCTCACTTATAGAAATTTTGGCACACAGTTTTGCTAGGACTACTCAGTAGCCTTAGGTTTACAGTACCTGAACATTGCACTCAAACATTTAGCTATCACCTTCTTTCCTCTGGCAGGTTCTTCAGTAGACTTGCATGTTATTTCCAGAAGAAGCACACCTTAATTTTGAAGCTCCTTCATGGCCTATCCCCAAATATTCCCAAACAGGGAATTAAGAAATTTATAATTGAATCTCTTTTACTAAAGGAGGACAAAAGACCCAAACTCTTTCCAAAACAAGAACAGTAGGGATAACAGACAAGTTTGTGGTTTGAGAGAAAACTAGTTCAGCAGCTGACATTGCAATAATGAAAACAGAATTTCCATACACTCTACACTGCCATTCTCTACACATTTCCACATACCAGGGAAATGTCTACACATTGACATACTCTACACATTGCCAGGGACCAAAACAGAAGAGACATTTACATTCATTTCCTAGTAAATGCACACAATTGCATGAGTGGTAACCACGTCTTTTGGCAAAGAATCAACTATACCACAGTTATGTTGAAAGATACCAAATTCTCAAGAGACTCAAGCATGCACATGCATCTTTTGCACAGCTTCTCATGCCATTTAAGTTTCAAACTTCACTAGTTTTTTAAGACAATGGTTCCTGCAGAGGATGAGTTATTAGCTATCCACTTGAGGGCAGCAGTAAGCAGTCCAACTGCATCACACAAAAGCTTGGGAAATTACCTTGTCGGAAGAAAATACTTAGATGCTGAACAGCTACATAGATCTATCACTACGAAACAAACACAACCCCCTGACTCTTCAAGTTTAAAAAATCTAAACATATGCTTGAGGGAAGCAGCTTGGAGGTAAGAGGTTAACACCAGGATAAGCCAATAAAAGAAATCTAACATACACTGAAACTCTGGAAGAGCTTAACACAGCTGTTTTCAGAATGCTTTGTTTTTAAACTTCATTCTGAACTATTTTTCACATCATCTTTACATGAGTAAAATTAGAGACACTGCTTCTTAAAATAGCTTAAAATTAGCTAATAACCAAATCTGTATCAAGAAACTGACCTGATTCCTGAAGTGAAAAGGTAGTACTACTACCAATACCTACTCTAAAAAAGATAAATTTGTTGTACCACTGTGTTCATAACATCCAGTTAGAGTGATAACTATGAAGGCTTACTGAAGTGTTTTGAAGCCATAACCGAGGATATGGTTCATACATTTGTTATGATTTGTTATGAATGAAGTCTCAAACAAGAGCATAAAAGCTCTTGGTTTTAAGGATGCTGTGCAAGCTGGCTTTGATGATGCTATGGAATGAGGGAAGTGGTTGGTCTCCTTACCTCTCCTTACCAGTTTTATATAAATTAATTTCAACTTCTTACTTAAAAAAAGTACAGCAAGTTCTTTGTCAGTAGTGACATGCACTAGAAATAGGACCTGAGAAAGTTCTGTGAAAGTACGTTAATACATTGCACACATTGCAGTACTGGAGGTTTTTTGTTTTTGTTTTTTTTTTGATATCTGTTATATTCCTGTTGAATGATTATATAACTCCAAAGAAACAATAAGGTAATTTATTTTCAACTTACGTGCCACCAAGGACTTGGACTGAAGCTATTCGAGGATTGTATCCAAGGAACTGGAGATTTAAGACTTCTGTATTGAATTCAATTTTCTTTCCTTGGAAACCCACCTTTTCAAAAAGAGCTATATGTGGCTCAGACAGCTCCTGCAAAACATAAGCACTTTTATAGCACATTAAAACTCCAGATATGACTGTGAACGTTGATGTTCTACACAGCCCTTTTATTTCACTTTTTTGTTTGCCTGATTGTTTAAGATCAAAGATCCTGAACAAGGTTTTACTCTGCAACAAGTTATTAAAAAAATAGAAATTTATAATATAAAATCTTATATAAAACACACAATGGGTCTTTTTGCCTGCAATATAAAACCTTACCATAAAGCACACACAAATGTCTTTATGGTTGATATTCACATAATCACTCAATTATACTTTAAAACACATTTTAATTAATGCTATATCCCTCTTCCACCGCATTAAATCCCATTTCATTATAGGAATTCTTATATTCAGACATTAACACACAGCAACATAATACTGATTTCTACAGCCTCGAATGATGACAGACTTGTCATTACTTACTGCTCTCATTTTTAACTCTTTGAGTAGTTTATGATGGTATCGATCTCTCTCACCAGACAAAAGCCTTGAGATTTGTACTTTTGAGGCTGAATTCATGACTCAAGCAAAAATCGGAGCTCTGCAATCCTCTAGATTGCTGTGGGGAGATAATTCTTCTGTTTCTCTGTTAAAACACTCCTGCTTTCAAAAGGATCCTGCCTACATGAAACTTGCTGCATCACTGAATCCACTTTAAATGCCTCCTGGATAATGAACCTTGGGTTCTTTTCTGTGTGGCAAGATATCCGTGGTGGATAAGGAACAACTCCTTGCAATTAAAGGTTCTCATTTGGAAGTTGAGAGGTAAGGGTTTAAAATCCCTCAGGACAAGATAATTAAATCTGAGTTCCCTGGTGTCATAACTTATACTTGTGGATAAAGATGACCCTGCTACTCCCATCCTCACAAGCCTTGCCACCATGACTAAAGCTGATGCTATGGCCAGAAGAGCTATTTCCTGCTGGCATATGCTAGGCGTATTCCCAGTGCACCAGCTTCATCAGGAACTCTGGACATGAAGAGAAGTCTACACAGACTCGCAGACCTTGGACGGAGATCGGGCCATGCCAAAGCAGAGAGGGTTCACTATACACATAGCAGCAGATATGCATGCTTCCATGTGCATTTATTTAGAAAAATCTAATTGCTTGCCAATTCAAGACATTGCTTAAATTGTGCTTCACCATCCCTTAGATGTTGAAGGGCCTGGATGAACATTACATTAGTATCTCAACAGTAGGCCAGGTTATCACATGGCTGCTGAGCTCTGCTGCCTGCTTGCCTGCATGCAGCTGGGCTGTGGAAAATGCAGGGCTGGGCCTTCCACCTTGCCCCAAAGAGCCAACTAATGCTGACAATGAAAGGTTAACACCACGTCAGACTGTCGTGCCTCATCACAGCTGAGGAGCCCCACATGAACAGTTAACGCTGTGATAGGGCTCTAGTGTCTCTGAACCCTCAGCCCTTATACAGATCTGCACCTGCGTGCTGGGATATAGAACTGGTCAGACAGCAACCCTTGAGGCACATGCAATATTTCAGAAATGATCTATTTAGAAAGAAAAGAGAGAAACGGAAAGAAAATCCTCCAGTTTTCAACTACACCTTCTACTATGGGTGTTTTCAGATTCAGCAACAACACTGTTGCATAAAACAGTCCCCACAGCAAGAAGCACAAGATCAACCAATAGTTTTCTAACTTGCATTCTTCCCGTGTATGACACTGCATAGAGCTGTTTTCCATGTACATCTCTGTTGAGCTATTTCACAGAGCTACTTGTTAAAAAATAAGGTAAGCATAATAGCTTTTCTATTTTAATACTTCAAGGTGCTTTGTCTATAGAAATATTGTAGAAAATAATGGGCAAAGTTATGGGAAAAGCATATTGGCATGTCAGAGGAGTTTTTGAGACTGGCACTGACAAGAACAACCAAAAATAAATTTGTCAGTTGAAAATGGGATCTGGAATAATAAACTAAAACTTTTGTAAAATTATGAAAAATGAACTGTATAACATCATCTAACCTCGTATTCTCTTTATACAGGCTTGCTAATAAGCAAATGAGCAAAGTGACCCACTTTCCTCTTTCCTTCAAGTAGAAAGTCTCTGAAGAAGAAAGCAGCAGTATATGATCCGAAGATAGAAACAGTTCTCCCCTGCAATCTAACTGTGTTAAATCATACTCCTAGGACAAGTTTCATAAGCCTTAAAAATTTCAAGACACAAAGAATTGTCATTTTGCTGTTTTAGCATAGCATCTTCTTTCACGAAGAAGAGATTTTCCAAGAATAAATTGATTGTTCCCAAATGAAACAAACATTTTAAACCCCAAACTTGAAATTTAAAATGTATAAAGAGCCTATTTTAATTAATGTATGCTATTATCCGTTGAGCTTGGCTAGAACCACTTCCAGTGTTTTTAAATAGGATCTGTCTACTGGACAGCAAAACAGTTCCAGAGAGAGACATGCTTGCTGCAGATGTTTGTTTACATCACACATCAAAATGCTCCAGAGACATGAAAGAGGATGACACATTTTATTTCTCCTTAGTCACCTGCTACATCACTGACAAACTACCAAAATTACAGTGAAGCAGAATAGAATTGCTAAATTCAAAGACAGTCAACAGTTTACTCTTCCATTTTTAATATAAATACCATCTCATTTTAGTTGCAGCAAGTTCCTAGATCCCTGACTACATTTTACTAATAATTACTTTGATCTTAAAAGATACTTGCAGATTCCATAATTGATCTATCATAATGATTGCTTATAGGCTTGAACAAACTTGTTCTTGACCACTGATGTGTTGCAACATATGTAAATGTTGTTTGGGTTTGTATCCACCACACATAATAACAGCCAAATTTTGCCAAATGGCACTGGGTGTTGCTTTACTTTATCTAGAAGGGTGCATTATTCTGTGATGAACACAAATTACACTTCCCTGAAGATAGCAATAGTATTTTATAATTACATGTATTTCATGCAAATTTGTATAGTTATAGTCTGCTTTTTTAGCATGCAAGGAAAGCAAAGACTGCAGTATAAACGTTTCTTCACGTGGTCCTACTGACATTTCTCAACAGCCTACTCTAAGTGATCTCTATAGGGAAATAACAAGTCTATACAAAACATACTTGACACCTTTACAGAAGCTCTTTTGCAGGCTGTTGTTACACACAATGCTGCCACGCAGCTGCTTCTGTGAAGTCCTTTCCTTTGCAAAAACAGCAGAGGCCAAGACACTGACTGCACCTAGGACATTGAACTGCTACTGAATAGAAAAAAAAAAGTGTTGTTTATTATTCATGCCTCCCTATCACTTTTAGTGCTCTAAAAATGGGGAGGTCAGAGACATCAGTGTACTTATCTGCTTTACTTACAATATTTATAATCCTTAAAGATTTTAGAATGGCTTGGGGTGAACATCCCATTGCTGTCAGATCAGGATAGATTCCTTCTTCTAACACATACTGATTACCAGAGAATTCTTCCTGGTCATACACTATGCAGCTGCAGGAGAAAGAACAAGTTGCTTCTTAAGAATTTTGTGCAACTACAAGGATACTAGCAATTCTTAAGTTCTTAGCTACTGTCAGAACCTTATCTACATTTTTTTTGTGCTGACAAGCTAAAATGGTGTGCAAATGCAAAGCATTATCATTTTTCTTTTCTCTAAGTCCCCACCTGTGAAATCATTTCAAATGTTTAGATAGTTGTTTGATTAAAAATAAATAAACTTTACTGAATGTGATATTCATATATGAATACTACAAAATCACTTACCTGCCATCTAAAATTTTTGAAGACTTTGCAGCAAGTGAATCAATACACTTTGTGTTTTTTTCAAATATTTGGCAATCACCCTTGAATTCAGGCTCTGAAAATAACTGGACCTTTAAAACATAACAGACATATCATTTAAAAGTAATTCATTCTTCAGCCTTCAGTATCATGATTCCATCACTATTACTGTTACTAAATTAAAATCTAGTCCCGGAAGCTGCATATAATTTTTAAATATCTCATCAATTTTGCAATGCCTTTTCTAGATATCAACGTATCAAAACAAAAAAATACTTTTGAATATAAATCATTCAAGAACATACAAAATAGTTTTAAAAAAATCACTGACAAAGAAAAGAATAGCCCCTTGAACAGTCAGAAAATATTTTAAAACCCTCCTAGAATGGCCAGAATTGGCACATCATTAATAAAAATGCCATTAACTGGGCGTAATCCATTTAATCTCCATAATACGTACTCTTTCCACTAAATGAAAGCCACTTATTCCTCAGAATCAAAGTGGTGCACAGTCTTGGCAAAGGGCTCGGGTACCTTGCCAACAGGTGTGGTGCAGAGCCCAGCTACCTTGGGAATATGTGTCCTGTTTTACCTATAGTTACAGCCCTGTCAGTTCTTTCTTTACTCTGAGGACACAAGAGAGTAAGTCACTCGGTGTCTTTTGTCCTTATTTTAAAAAGGAGACATTCTGAACAGCAGCAAAGCTGCTAATCTGGATAGAGGATAATTAACCCTGATCATGCAGAAGTCATTCACATTATCACATGCCTACCAGCTTTATCCACTCTCACCAGAGATACGAGTGCAGGCATGTACTGTGTTCTCCAAAGAGAACATGCTGACGAGGGATGCAGTTTGTTGACTGCAAGCCATTTACTTCTTTGTTTCCTTAGGATAAGCTCTTAATAAGCAACATAATATAGAGATGTAAATATTTTTTCATGCATATAGCAGAAAATAAGCAGCCTTGAGATTTTTGCTCCCCCATACTTCATACATATCCCTATACAGGAGATTCCAGTGAGACATGCTACTAATTAAGAATGCAAATCAAGGCAGCAAAGACTTTTCTCCTGGGTTCTTAATTCCATGACACAGTCACCATGTGGACTGAAACAAAAATAAAAATATCCTCAGAGAGAGACAAATGTGAACTCAGAATTATGAAAGGACGAAAAAAGTCCCCACACCAATATTGCTGTCAGAACTGTGCAAGTACGAACACACAGAACGTGGTTTAACACAAAAATACACTACCGCACTGATCAGACAAGTTCCCTCTGCCATCTCCTTCTCTTAGTGGCAAAGCTGTCATTAACTTTTAGGCATGACAACTCAGAAAACAGTATTTAAGACTGAACTAGATTCTTCTCGTGTGCAGCCACCACAAGCAGCACTCTTAAGCAAAAACTAGGTTAAAAAGGGGTTAAGTCCTAGTTGCGCCATGTCCACCACCACCAGCACCACCGAAGGGACTCGAAGGCCCTGGCCTCTGGGGCGCGCTCCAGATGCCCGCGCCTCATAGCTCCTCCTGCAGAGATGCGTGTGGGTTCCAGCCCCACAGAGCGGCCTCTCGTAACCCCACACAGCTCGCTGCCAAGCCAAAACACTGCCTGGGCACATAGGAGGCTCTCTGAACAGCTGTGCGTTCAACCCCTCCTTTCTTGCACCTTCATGCGCCTTCCCTAGGGGATTCAGAACGTAGCCTTCCTTCAGTTTTATCTGACTCGTCAACCTTCTGTGCAAATACCTAGGTGAATCAGTGGACAAAAATCTAATCCCATTTCTTTACTTACATGTTAAACAGACGCCATACAGTATGTTTCATACATTTAGAGAAGTGTCTTACCTTAACTTTACCCCTTTCGCTTCCAACAATATCCTGCAAAGGTTCAGAGGATAAAAAGAGTGATGTTAAAAAGTGCTAAAATTAGCATTCAAAAGCTTCTGTTTGAAGACAGCACATAAAATGAATTTGATTTTAAAAAACAGATACAAATATTCAGAGAAATGTGCAAAACAAGTGTAAAATAACCTCCTTACCACAACAATGGGTTGAACTGAAGATATTTTACAATTCTTGCCTCCCCATGCTTCAATGCTGGGATATAGCCCTTTATCCAGTATGTACTGCTCCCCTGTAAACTCAGAATTCTCATAAGCCACCCACCTAGGAAAGAGAGAAAGGCATAGGGGGAAATGTCACAATATTTCTTCCAAAACAAAACCATCTATTCAGATTTAATGCAAGCAATAGATTAGATAGGTATATTTTTTTCTAATACCATCGCTCAAACAGTGATGCTATTAAAACTCTAAACAAACAAAACTATATATAGTATAATTATATACTCCAAAACTTATTATAGCTATAAAACTATATATTCCATTCAACCTAATATTATGTCAGTATGGATGTTAGTGAACAAGCTAAAACAGACCAGTAGTTCTGAACTGCTAGGCGTTTTACAGGCTGTCTCCCATCAGAAAATCTGAGATGTTTCACAACTGTGATATTTTATCTAGATCAAGTTCTCTTCTAGAAAAACCAAAGTATCATATGATCATTGTTTTACATGACACCAACTTTCAGCATCATCTGTGTCATAAAGATAGCTACAGGGAACATTAAAAAACAGTACCAAAGCTCTGTTGTGTTTAAGCAAACACATCCCATAAAAATTACGTTTGTAACAAAAGGCCTTTATGTTAACGAAAGCACAGACTGTTCGCTGTTAGGAATCACAGACATCAGCAGTAAGAACATCCTTAGAAGTCAAACATTAAAACCATCACAAAATCTGACCAGATTAATGTATTTAAGTTCAAAGCAATTATTATGACTACTCAGCCTGACTTGATGCCTGACAGAAGTGCAGATGCTCAGACTTCTGCATCAAACCTCTAACTTTTGGCTCAGTCAGAACATACTGTTCTGCAAAGACACTGAACTTAGCGATGAAACAGTTCAAATATCAGAAAAGCTATGAAATACAACATGTATCTTTCCAATACTTAATTACCCTTGCAGCACTTCATTTCCAGTGGGAGGTTACGGAAGTGCATCTGCTACCAGCCAGGCTTGCTAGGTACAGCCTACTGCATTTAAGAAACCTTGTTCCATGAGGCTCTTCCAACCAGGTCTCCATGCTCTAAGTCCACATAAAGTGTTCCCACATCAGCATTAACTTTGTTTTTGTTACAAGCTCTCCAAATCCTTTAGTCTTGCATCGCTAGGCTTTCCAAATTTTCTGATAATTAAAATATGGCTTTTTTTTTTTCTTTTTTTTTTTTTGAGTTTCATCTATGCAGAGATCATACCCACTTACTGCAAAGTCTTCTCACAGAATTTCAACACTAACAAAGAAATTGTACCATAAAGCAGTGAAATGATATTGAATTTTTAACTTCGCAGGGGAGGCTCTCACCATCTGACTTCACTATATAATGATTTTTCTGTTTTGAACGTCTAGATTCTGTTAAGCTGCAGTTTTAGTCAAAGCAGAAAAAAGAGAGTCTGCAAATATAAAAGGAGGGATAACTTCAAACTGAAATGAAGTTACATCAGTGTGTGTGCTGAGAGTGTGAGCTTCGCGTTGTTTGCCCACGGCAAGCACTCGCATAGTGATTCACATTTATCACTTCACATCTCTTGGTTTGCCTCAGATATAATCAATTATTCTAAATATTTAAGCACTAATTACTCAAGGCACATTTCAAGGCATCCTTCTAAATCACCTCATACTAGTTTATCAAAGAGACATTGGTATGTACAATAAATTAGACGGAAAGTTCAAATGTCTCAGGTGTGTTTATACCTGTATGCCACTTACATCAAAAGCTGGGAAAATGAAGTTTCCTTAACCAATTTCTTAAGCAGATGTTCATTAA